GAAAGAAAGAAAGAAAGAAAGAAAGAAAGAAAGAAAGAAAGAAAGAAAGAAAGAAAGAAAGAAAGAAAGAAAGAAAGAGAAAGAGAGAAAGGAAGGTGGGAAGGTAGGCAAGCAGGAAGAAAGGAAGAAGCTAGCCAACCAACCATGGATTAAACCTCTGTCTGAAGTCAAATCAAGTGACATTTTGCTATGAGAACAGTTTAAGTACAGAATAAAATCCATAAGGTAGTTATAAAGTACAAGCAAGATTTCATCCAGCTATGTCATGACATATAGCATGTCACAGATAGAGAAAAACTTTTGTTATGAGGTGAGCAATTAAAAATCCTATCATCGAATTAATACAAGAAAAGAATATCCCTGAGCTTTTACCTTCTTGTGATTCTTGTAAACATTTCTGTGTGCAAACCCTTTTCCGCAGAGCTTGCATTTGTAAGGCTTGTCTTCACTGTGTATTACTTTGTGAGCACCCACTTGATCGAGCCTCTTGAAAGATTTATGACAAATTTCACAATTGTAAGGCCGTTTCTCTGTTAAAAAAAAAACAAATGGAGACAGACAAGCTCACATTCCATAAAGACGAAGGATTAAAAAATATTCTTACCTTAAATTCAAGAATGGTCATATAACAAAAAAAAATCAAATACACAGAAAGAAATAAAACCTACCACCTAGTTCATCTGAGTTTGAGTTTGTGTCTGTGTGATTGGTCACAAGTGACACTGAGTGAGTTCTTTTGAAGGCCTGTTTTGAAAAGTTCAGGCAGTGTTTCTTTATTTCCAGATGAACAACGTGGTGATAGGGGTGAGTTGAAGTGAGGGTCACAGGCCTGAGTGCTGAGAGGCCTGGCAGTGAGGGAGAAGAACTCAGCCACCTCCTGCGGGGTCCACAGGCCTCCTGGAAGCCAGAGTTCCCATTCACAGCAGGAGCTAGACGTTTAGACAGTAGGTAAAAGCCATATTTATGTAATATTCATAGGATGTTGACAAGTCCATTTTTTGAATGTTGTACTGATGTTCAAAGCATATCTGAGAGCCAACAATTTTTTGATCTCCAATTTTAATTTGCTTAACACACTTATCTATGGATATCTCCATATAAGAGATAATTCAAAAGCATTCTGAGTTCAATGATCTCAAATTTCTAGAACCCTCAATTCTAGAAGAGACTCCATAAGGCAAAAATTATTTTCAAAGCTGTTTCTTTTTATGTCTGCTTAAGTAAAATAGACCTATTAACTCAAACTGGCATGAAATAAAATTATGGCATTAAAATATTTTCTGAAAGCAAATTTAAAAATTTAGGCTAAACTGATTAGTGCCATATTTAGGATATTAAAGTATCTAGGGATGGGAAAAAAGACTTTAATTGTTGAATCTCTACTAAATGTCAAACACTATGGTAGCACAGCACATAAATAAATGAACTTAAACTTCATAATTAATTTTTCAAGGAATGCACTATGAATAAAGAATCTGAGCTTCAAAAAAATGAGTGGAAGATTTGTGGTATCTTTTGGTCAAACCACTTTTGATTTGCATAAACAGATCTCAAGAATTAAGTCACTTGTTCAAAACCACATGACCAAGCTAGAACATACAACAATGCTTTTTATTACATGTTCGGAGTTCCTGAAAAGAACAATGCTACTGGAGTGATTTCAAAATGTTTGAAAAAGGATATAGTTTACCTGAGTGGGTAATCATATGACGCTTTAGCTGATTAGCTGAAATAAATTTCTTCATACATTCTTGACAATCAAATATCTCATGAATCTGCAAAAAGATTTAGTTAACCTTTAAATTGATTGTTAAAAACCTAATAAATGGCATGGAGCTCATGTAAAAGTGTAAACATATGGACAGTTACTACTGCAGTGCCCAAATTATTTATATCACTCAGCACTACTTTGTTCACTTGTCACATAAATTAAAAATACAATAGAGATATGTTACTAGTAAAAACGTCAGTAAAGAAAACCTAACATGTATACTATTCAAGTATGAGAAATAGCTTAGTTACATTGAATTAACTATAGACACTATACAAAAATAACTAGCATATATTAACACTTGTTATGTATAAATTTAGACTTAGAAATATATAATCTTTGGGTATATTATTCCTTTTATAATAGGCAAGCATTTTTTAAGTTTCAAAGAAATGACTGAATTTCTGTACTCATATGGCATGCCTAAACTGAGCTTATAATGAACAATTAAACAGACTTATACTGAGCAAGAGTCTACCAGCAAACCATCTAGAACAATGTGTATTCCCTGCCAAATTCTACTAGACCTTTAAAGAAAAATTACACCAATACTTACTCAAAAGTTTTTTTTAAAATTTAAAGAGAAGGCACGCTATCAAATTCATTCCATGAAGTTAATATTACCCTGCTATCTAAACTGGATAAAGACCCAAAAGTAAACTACAGACCAATCTCCTTGATGATCATAGATGCAAAAATTCTCAAAATAGTTGCAAACTGAAGGCAACAATACATTAAAAAGACCATACCCCAGGATCAAGGCAATTTCATTCTAGGGATGTAAGAACAGCTCAGACATACAAAAATAAACAAATGTAATACACCACATAAACTTATAACCATTGCTACTCAAGATGCTGAGAACTACAAGATTGAAGTTTGAAGACAGCCTTGAGCAAAAACATCTGCAAGACTCTACCTCCAATTAACCAGCAAAAAGCGGGAGGCATTGTTCAAGTGATAGAGCAGTAGCCCTGAGCAATCAAGCTGAGTTAGCACAAGGCCCTAAGTTCAAGTCATGAACCCACTTACAAAAAAGAAAACAAAAACAGCAACGATAGTAACTAAAAAATATCTCATTTCCTTTTCTTAGAGTTAATTTTTATGTTTTATTATTGTAGAAATACTGTACAGAGGAGTTATAGTTACATGAGTAAGGTAATGAGTACATTTCCTATCAAGCATTTTTACCTCCTCCTTGGATTTTCCCCTACCATCCCTTCCTTCCCCACCTCCCCAACTCCTCCCTCCCTGCCCCAAGTTGTAAACTTCCTTTTCTTTACAACATAGTGTTTTGTACATCTCATTGTTACAATGGGTCAACCTGTATCCTTATTCTTGGGAGTTAATTTTATAAAATTCTATTTTATTCGATTATATGCACAGAGCTTTTGAGCCTTTGTCATCTGCTCCTACGAATATCCTTCTTTGGCATCAATGTGTGGATGTCTAAAGACCTATATAATTAATCATTTCCTAGTGTTTATATATTAATCATTCAGTATGTTACAGATTTATAGGCACATTATAGCTATAATAAATGAGGGAAATTGTGCAACTTATGTTTCTTTAGATCTGACTTACTTCATTTTATATGATTTTACCAAGTCTTTCCAATTTTTTATGAATGCTACAATATCATTCTTTCTGATGAATAAGTAGAATTCTACTGTGTATATATATTACATATTCTTTATCGAATCGTCCTTTGAGGGACATCTGGCTTGATTGCATATCTTGGCTACAGTAAACAATGTTGTAATGAACTAAAGCTGATGGCTTTAGTGTGGCCTGGTTTGTGGTCCATTGGATAAATGCCCAGGAGTGAGACTGCTGGGTCACAGAGAAGCTCTATGTTTTGTCTTTTGAGAAATATCCATACTGCTTTCGAGAGTGGTTGAACCAGCTTACATTCTCACTAACAGTTTTGGCTGCATCCCAGCCTGCATTTTTAACTGGGGTGAGATGGAGTCTCAATGTTGTTTTGATTTGCATTTGATATCCCAGATATGTTGAACGTTTCTTCATGTGTTGGCCATTCTTACTTCTTCCTTCCTCTAAGACATCTCTCTTTAAATCTTTAGCCCAGTAGGTTGTTGAGGTGTTTGTGTTTTTGTTTTAGTTGCTGTTATTGCTGTTTTTGTTTTCTTTTCCTTTGTCTTGTTTCTTAGTTTGTATTTGGAAGGTAAGGAATGGCATAGAAAATGTAGAACAAAGGGTGAACAAATACATACATCAGTAGGACTCATTAGATACTACGTGGAAAATAAACTTTACATCTTGTGGGTAGGGAAAGGAGGAAAAACCTGGGAGAGAGGGAGGGAAGGAGAGACATGGTTCAAAAGATTATGCTCATGTAACTGTAACCCCTCTATATATTAGAGCTACAATAACAATAAAAATAAATAAGCAAAAATGGAAGAAAGAAATAAGAAAGAACATAATAAACCCCACATAATAAACACCACCAAAAGGGAGGAAGGAGATAGTGAAGCAGGAAAAGAGTAGTTGGCCCAGGGATTAGCATTCTATAAGGACATCCTATAAAGGAACTGCAATAACTATACTAATACTTGAATGGGCCTGACATGGGCAAAGCCTCTATCAAAAACAACAAATATCCAGGTGCTGGTGGCTCACACCTCTAATCCTAGCTACTCAGGAGGCTGAGATCTGAGGATCACGGTTCAAAGCCAGCCCAGGCAGGAGAGACCGTGAGACTCTTACCAGAAAATCACAAGTAGATCTGTGGCTCAAAGTGATAGACTGCTAGCCTTGAGCAAAAAGAGCTATGCCCTGAATTCAAGCCCCATAACTCACACACACACACACACACACACACACACACACACACACACACACACACATGTTCAGGAGGTATTTAATGATCTCACTCAATCAAATAAAATCACCACTTGGAAATTGGAAGTTTCGCGGCTTGCTGACACGAGAAAGGCTGGCCCAGTGCTTATTCTATTATTTCTCTCACAGGTCAGAATCACTGAGCCTGCAGGAGACCACCTCACACACACCACACAATGATTTACTACCTCATAAACTACAAGATAAACCATACACATGGCTGGATTTACTACTACATGAAATGAGTTTTATGTTCTGTCAAATTAAACTGCAATATGTATATCCTACAAAATTAAGGAAAGTGGGGTGGAGCGGGTTGGGAAGGATGGGTGAAAATGTTGAAAGGGGTGACACTGATCAAGATGCATTTATTCATAAATTGTTTTGTTGTGGCAACTACTTCATACAACTACTTAATGATAATAAAAATAATTTAATTGCAATATATCTATATACATAAAGAGGTAAAATTGAACAACATGAAACAAAAATAAAATGGCAATGAAAGTAAAATCTTACTTTCGTTAATACCATCTTTCCTTTCCTTGGTTATTAGCTCACTAGAGAAGCATTTTCATGTACATAGGTATTTTTTTTAAAATGTGTGACATTAAGAAATACTTTAGACTTTGTGGTAATATTAAAATCTGAATTCTATTTTAATTCTTTGTGTACATAGATTTTATTTTGAATTTTGTATAACTAGTTGTTAATGTGATTAAACTTAATATTTTTCATATGGACTTTTCATGTCAAAACAGTAACAGTAATTTTTATACTTATTATAAAATATTAAACTGATTTTCTTCTAATATAATCACTTTCTACTAACAATTCTTGGGCAAGTTATTTTTAGGCTTTCAAAATAGTATACGCTCAGTTGTTATGTCAGACTCACCTATAATAAGCATTTACTTTCAGAGCCAAAGGCCAATTCCAGAACACAAGAAATACATGAAAGTAGATATTTTTTGTTGATTTGTATTTCCCGAGAAAATGTCAACTCTAAGAGCCTGACTCCAAAGTGAGTGAAAGATTCAGCTAAACATGATACCTTGTATTGGAGGTCTATCTGAACTACCTTTAAATCACACACAACTGAATATACCCTTTCTCTTTCTTTCTTTCTTCTGTCTGTCTGTCTGTCTGTCTATCATGGGGCTTTAACGCAGGGCCTTGGTGCTGTCCCTGAGATTTTTTGTTTAAGGATAGTGCTCTCCCACTTTGAACCACAGTGTCACTTCTAGTTTTTGAGTGGTTAATTGGAGGAAAGAGTCTCATGGGAACTTTTCTGCACAGGCTGGCTTTGAACTGTGATCCTCAGACCTCAGCCTCCTGAGTGAGCCACTGGCTTCTGGCGGATATATCATTCTACAGTTTACATTTCTGCATGTTAATTTTATATTTGTATTCATTTTATGTTTATATGATAAGATTTATTGTTTAACGGAAAGCGCTGTCTTCATACAAAAATCAATGGGTAGTTGGCAGGCAGACATTAGAAAGTGATCGCCTCCATACTCACCTTCTTGTGCTCCTGCAGGCGGGAGGCTGTGGAACACTTTTTATTGCACACTGGGCATATGAGCTTTTTCTTAGGATCTCCTAAGACAGAAATGAAACAAATGATACATACATATGATCTGTGATTTCTTTTGGACAGCAGAGAATTCTACACTGCTCAATGTATAGACAATTATTCATTAAACTCAGACAAAAAGCTGTCTTTGAAACCCTTTTTACAGAGATCTTCCATTTGACACATTCCTTTCTACAAACAAAATAAGCTTGCTAGTATTCTGTATAATAACATAGCATTAAGAAAGAAAAGCAAAGAGCCAGGCATTGTGGCACAGAGATATAATCCCAGCTACTCAGGATGTATAGATCAGCAGGAATATGTTTTGAGTCCAGCCTGAGCAAAAAGTTAGTGAGACAAGTTAGGCATGGTGGTATGTGCCTGTAAGCCCAGCCGAACAGGCTTTGTCCCTTTAAGCAATTATACACTATCAATGTGAAACTGCTTCCTTCGCTTTTCCTAATAGGAAATATTTTCTCCCCAAACATCCGGGTTCACAGAAAAAAATTAAATAAATAAAAAGAGGCCACAAATGAAGAACTGAAATCATGTCCCAACCTTGACGAAAGGTGTTCATTGTAACCCATGGCTAAAATTCAGCAAGATTTCAAAATCTTTTATCATGAGCTACCACAAAGGACCAAAAATAAATTTCTATGTATAAATTATTTCCTACAAAATCACCATGAATTTTCAGAATCTATTATATTCTAATATCCAAGGCCAATTACAAGAAGCCTCACAAAGTACATAGAGCATACAGCATGAAAACCACATGCCCAGAAAGAACACAAATGCTGCCAGAGTCGCTGTGTGCATCTGGATTTTTACTTAGTTCAGCAAAGCTGACTTTAAAACTAACATGAAAGTTTTGTTACAATACATTGCAGACATAAATGGAGAAAATTAAGAACAGCATTTTAACCAGAACATCATTTTGTTCAAAAAAAATATGTAGGCAAGTCTATCCAAAAAAATATGCTTGCCTCTGCACTCATAGAGACGGCCTCAGTATACTTTAAATCTGAAGAATGCGTTTTTGCACATCGCTACCATATGTTCGTCAAAGGAAAAGACAGAAAAGAACAATGTAAAGTTTGAGCAATGGGAACAAAGCTAAGGTTTATTTCATATAGCTCTGCCTTCCACCACCCAGAACTCTGGTGCAGAGCTCAAACTCGAGCTGAAGCCAGCGGGCATGGTCAATGAGTGTCTATAGTCTTATGATTATTAAGCTTGATTTTTTTTGTAGATGATGAACAAACCCAGGTTCATACACTGGGTACCAATTAATCTGCTCTTCTGGCCCTGAGAATAACAAGAAGGAGAAAAGAAGTGGACCTTTTTCCTTATTCCGAGAAGAATTTCTTCCTTTCCAGAAAGAAGCAAAGGGGAAAATTCAACACATGGGTTATACACATAGTCAGGACATACACAAAGCAAGTGAAACTTCAAACGCTTCAACTTCTTCAAGGTGCATACACAAGGTCAAAGGTGGGCGACACTGTCCACAAAGAAAGGTGCTCTTTACCTGACTTAGGTAACTGAAACCCCTCTGTACATCACCTTTATAATTAACAATAAACAATGTTCAACAGGATGCAACAAATCCATTTCAAACCAACTCCATTTACTAATTGTCTTCAAAGTACTGGGATGATGAACTAAGTGACAATCCAGTTTAATACTGGTTTGGTTGTTTAGCTCAACTATTAGAAGGAATTTCAACAAGAACCTGCTGTATTAAATGCACATGTCAATTTGGATTAATTAAAATAATGTTCAATTCCGTGGTCAAAATGTAGTGAGGAATTTTCCCTATTATTGTAGACATGTACACATTAAAGGATATCAATTTTCCAATAACAATATTAAGGCAGAAGTGGCTCCCTTAATCGTTTTAAGATACATCTATAATATTCAAGTTCAACAATTTATGAACAAAATTTCACATTGAAACATGAAAACTGTTAAAACATACACACATCAATTCTTTGTGGATGTGGACACTAAGCACAACTCATAAATTGTTTGGTGTCCAGTTAAGATTAATTCAGAAATGGAAAAATAGCACATGCTGCTGAAATCGACTTGAAAAATATCATTCAGTATAAGAAAAAAAAAAAAAAGAAAAAAACAACACTTCCACATCTGGGTGAAACACAATGGAAAAAGCCTGTGCTCTTCTCAGGAGTGCGAATGAAAAGCAGATTACAGTTTTAAACCATGTTCCCACGACATACCAGCATGGACGTTTTCCTGGTGTCTTTTTAGGGCATCTTTGCTCTTCAGTCTCTTTCCACAGCTGTCTGCTTTGCATACGAACCTGGCACTTCCCTGGCAAGTCTTTTGGTGCTGCTCAAAACTACAAGGCAAGCAGCAAGAGGGACAGGAAGAAGAGATGGTGGAGATGTATGGGGACAATGCGAACAGGACTGCAGGCTCTGTCCTACATGCACCCCAGGACTACATCCTCTACCAGAGTTCCAGGCCAAGCTCATGCATTTTAACATAGGTGAAGACAATGTATTCCATGTAATCAGTCACATGCAAAATATAAAAAAAGACCCAAGATTATTTAACAGTCATTTTAAAACTTGGACACAAAACCTCAGCGCTGAACTGAAGGAAGAATTGCAAACAGAACACTGAAAACTTCGTGAAGAATCCTTTGGGCTGCTTTTCGATGCGCAGTGAAGAACACTGAGAGGAAATGAGGGAAAAGACAGAAACAAAAACCAGAACTCTAAGACAAAACACATGAGAACACACCAACTGTAAGTAAAGTCATGTCCACAACCCTCTTCACTCTGTCTTCTATCTTTGGAAATTTTTAAGGGGAACTCATTTATCCACAAGGATATTTAGTCCAGCAAGGATATTTTCTCAAATATATAATACTACAAGCAGCAAAACTAGACTGAGGTTGTAAAGTCACTTTATAAAACTTACACAGCCCTTGTGAGACTTCTTTCTTTAAAAAGAAAACATTAAAAAAAAAACTGTACTGGGCACCAGTGGCTCACAACTGTAATCCTAGCTTCTCAGAATGCTGAGACCTGGAGGATGGAGATTAGAAACCTGAGAGAAGTCTCAGTGATTGCATCTGCACTTAACCAATAAAGGCCAGGCTGGAGACATGACTCAAGTGGTAGAGCACTAGCTGTGAGCAAGAAAGTGGAGGAAAAGCGAGGCCCTGAGTTTAAACTCTCATGCTTCCAATAATAAAAAATAAAATACCAATAACAAAGAAACTATAGTGGGATTTCTAAATGTCTCATCTCCTAATATTATAAAAGTTTGATTTTTTAAGCATTTATAAAGTCTATGCTGGAATTTTTATTTTCAAAACTCATAAGCAAAAGCTGGTGCACATAATATACATAGAAATAATCCTAATATGAAACAGCATGTATTAGAATTTTACATGGATGAAACCAAGACCATTAAGTCTGTGGCAAAGATTTCTTACTCATAATAAGATATAAACATAATCTTAAGAAATACTTAAATGAACAGATAAAAAATTTTATGTAAGCCAAGACAATGGCTCACAACTGTAATCCTAGCTACTCAGGAGGCTGAGATCTGAGGATCACAGTTCAAAGCCAGCTGGGCAGGAAAGTTTGTGATACTCTTATCTTCAATAAGCCACCAGAAAACTGGAAGTGGCACTGTGGCTCAATTAGTAGAGCACTAGCCTTGAGCTGAAGAGCTGAGAGACATTGCCCAGGCCCAAAGTTCAAGCCCCATGACAAACCAAAAAAAAAAAAAGGTTGTTAATCACTGTTACACTAACAAGAGTATCGAAACATGGGTGAAAGCATTTTAATTAATCACACTGTTGTAATTTTACCTGGTCATGTTTACACTACTCCTCCAAAGGTCTATAAAGTAAAACAAGCTCCTCAAAATAGCTATGCATTCCTCCCACCATTTCTTAAACTTTTCTGTAACTGATTCCCAAGTCCATTTCATAGGGACACAACTGAAACTTCGCCTATCACCTCAAAGCACTGCTTGATGTAGATCTCAATTCCAGGAAAGTGTTGATAAATTTCAGATTGATTTTTACTGACAAGTTATTACATTAAGACTAACCAGAATAGTGTTTACCTATGAATTTCAAAATCAGAATTTTCAAGAGTAAGCACACTACAGTTTGAAGAGATGAGCTATACCAATGCAGAATTATCTCTCTCTCTCTTATACACACACACACACACACACACACACACACTAAAAACTATGACTCTAGCCACATGGAACAATCCAAGTTTTAGCTTATAACTTGAAAGATAGGCTTTTAATATACGTACTGTCTTTGCAAAGCTTGCTTGACTGGGAATTTCTTCCCACAGTTCTTGCATTTAACTTCTTTCTCCTCCGTGGCCCTCTGGTGCAGGGTCTGAACATGCTCAGCAAGGATTTCCTCACTGGGGAAACTCAATTTGCACTGGGAACAGGCATGCTCCTCTTCACAGCCCCAGTGATCTGTATATGAAAAAGGAAGCATTCTATAGCACAGATTCACAGCCAGTAGCTGCCTGCTCGGCCCTCACTTTAAAATCACATCGATTGTGTTTAACACTGAAAATGTGTATTAACTGTCATCTACAAAACAAAGAAGGAAGTGTTTCTAAACAGAAATCTATTTTAAAAATCCTTTCACTAGTGTTTCACAAAGTGAATACAAAATCAATTTCGATGTTTCACGTGTATATGTTTGTGTGTGTGTGTGTGCATGCACACACTCATGTGCACCCTTGAACAGAGCCTGGGTACTATCTCTGAGCTTTTTTTTGCTCAAAGCTAGTGCTCTATCATGTGAGCCACATTCCAGCTTTTTGGTGGTTAACTGGCAATAAGAGTCTACAGACTTTCCTGCCCAGACTAGTTTCAAACTCAATCCTTAGATCTCATCTTCCTGAGTAAATAGTATTACAGGTGAGGGTCACTGGCACCTGGTCAATTTCCATTTTTAATTAGCCCTTCTACACTTTCTTTGTTTCTTCTGTTGGGGTTTTTGTTTCTTTGCTTTCATAAATGGGTCTAAGAATTCTAAAATGGTGCCACTGGTTCACTTTGGTAATCTTAGCTACTTTAGAAGCTGAGTCTGAGGACCATGGTTCAGAGTTAGCCTAGGCTAAAAAAAAATTTAAAAATTGGGCTGGGGAGGTGGCTCAGTGGTAGAGTGCTTGCCTTGCATGCATGATGCCCTGGGTTCGATTCCTCAGCACCACATAAGCAGAAAAAGCCAGAAGTGGCACCATGGCTCAAGCAGTAGAGCACTAGCCTTGAGCTAAAGAGCTGAGGGACAGCACCCAGGCCCAGAATACAGGCCCCACAACTGACAAAAAATAAAAAAATAAAAAATAAAAGAAAATCCCTAGACTATCTCCACTTACGCAGCAAAGAAGCCAGACCAGAGCTATAGCTGATATGTAGAATGTCAACCAACAGCAAAAATACTGAGGAAAAGCTATAGGCCCTGAGTTCAAGCTCTAGTACTGGCGCATGTACAAACACACGTTGCTGGCTCATATGCTTAAGAAAACCTTTTAAATTTCTACTTAATCTTTTTACAAGGAAAAATGGAATGTTATTTTGGTAATAAAAAATTCTGGGCACTAAAAGATAAGTTGGAAACTTACTTATAAATTAAAACAATGGACTCTCCACCAGAGCAGAGAGGCTCCATCCCGCCAAAGCCGCTCCGCACCAGCAATGCGACAAAGGGACCTGTGGGCAGACCACCCGCCCGATTGCAACGACAAGGCGGGGCCGCCCGGGCCCCAGAGGCACAGGGGGCTGCCTGCAGATCACAACCTGCGAAGAAGCCGCCTGAGCGTGGACACTTTAAACCGACAGCTTCGATAGAGGCAGAGACAGAAAAGAATCACACAGAGCCACCACCGCCCAACCCAGCCCGCAACCACCCCAACTGAACTCGGATTGCAACAACAACTGACAACCTACACCACACAGAAACAACCAGCTCCAGGGTGAGTACCCCGCAGGAGACAGTGTATCCCTCAAGGGAGACCAGAGCTGGAGGGAATCCCCAGACCCTGACCTAGACTCCCTACCCCAACACCCGGACCACAGGACCCACTAAAACTGGGA